TATGATTAAAAAGTTTGTATTAAATATACTTTTATAACAAATTTCATTATTTATAAATTATATTATATATATAAATCAATAAAATAAACCTTTATTTTATTATTATTAGATTTTATAATAATAAAATAAATAATCAGTATAATTAGTTTAATTATTTGTTTTATATTTTTAGGAGTTATTTAAAATAAAAGTAAATAATATAAAATTCACAAAGTTTAATTTGTTATTATAATTAGATAAATATTATTAGTCTAGAATGTAAGCAAAAGACTATCTATATATAAGCAATAGTGTTGAAAAATGTCTGTCTGTCCGCCTGCTTGAATTTTAAGATGATGTGTGATTAGTTATTATTATTAGTCACATTTTTTTATTTAATAATTTACTGATTATATAACACATTTAAATTCTGATCTCTTTCTTTTTTCATTTTTAATTTGAATTTTATTCATTACATATTACATATCAAAAAATATAACAAAAAATAAACAAAAAACAAAAAATACAGAAAATTGCGAAATAACATGTTTTATCAGAAATTTTCATAAAAATTTACATTTTTTTTTTATATAAATGTTAAACTCTTCATATTACAATGATATAGACCATAACTGTTCTTTTTCATCTTTCTTTTCTTTTAACCTTCTGCTATTTTTATTATGTTAAAGCCTATCAAATGAGAACTGTTTGAGGCAAAGATCATTTAATAATTAAACTCATGATAAAGTTATAAAGGTAAGTCTTGCTACAAATTTCTTTTTTTCTAATATTGATTATGGCCTTTTCTAATGTTAACCCTTAGCTCTTATATACTGTTATTATCCAAGCAAGATATATTGATACCAGAAAACTAGAATATGTTATTCCATTTTTATCTTCTTAACTATATTTAAAATAAGTATTATCAGTACTACTTCATCACCTTCTAAAGTAGCTATTATTGGTCTATTATATTTATCGAATTTCACAAAAACAACCTTGAGAAGTGCAGGTAGATTCTGTTTATCATTAAATAAAATATCTTATACAGTTTTCATTGATTTATTAACCAACCCTACCTCTATCCATAGGTTTACTGTTAACATAATACAGCAACTTTTTGCTAGTAATAACTGGACTTTGAGTCTCATTGCTATATCAGAATTTACTTATTTAGTATCTCTTTTTCCAGTATGAATCATATATTCTAATTCATTTAATGATAGAAAATGATGCAAAATCATCATTAATCGTGATGGCATTAATAGGAGTGACAGCATTTAATATCAACAGAGCAATGATTCACTCAACATTTTTCTTATAAATAAAGAATGATAAACAGATCAATCTGAATAATATACAGTTAAAACTACTTTAAGAAAGGTTACAATATATTAGATATTTTATATTTAATGAAAAAAGTATGTAGGATAAAGAATGCTAAACTTAATTAACATGAGATTAAGATAAGCATTTTCAGAAAATAAAAACAAATCCTTTAGTAAATGTTCTATCATTATGTTTGATGATTTTAGGCAAATCCTATTAGTGCTTAATTTCCTAATATATGCAAAAAATTAATCATATGATGCAATATCAAATAATGGTCTGACTGCCTATAAATATTTCTAGGAAACCTATAAGCTCAATATAGTTTAACAATAATTTAGAGAATCTAAAAAGCAAAGAGGCTTTAGAGATCTACTATTAAGATTACGAGAAGGAATAGCAACTTAAACAATTAAACTATTCTAACAAAATATTTTGAAGAAAATATAAATCAGATCAAAAGAGATCAATTTAGCGATGCTGTATTCATACAAACATTATAGGTAGAAGTAAATAAAGTTAATATTAAAATACTTGAAAGATTAAATCAACCAGTAGCTAAAATAAATGTATCACTTTGATGAGATATAATTTTTCAGTTCCAGCTATACCCATGATCAATATCTTTAAAGCTTCAAGTTGTTGACTTGATATGATATCATGATAATGATTTTTTATTCTTTCAAAATTTTTTTTGTATTTCATTTAAATTTTACCTTTTTGTTAATTTGTTATCGTTTTTTATAGTAATAATTCTAATGTTGCTTAAAGCTTACCGTACAAATTTGTGAATATTTACTAGGTCATCACTTGAATAATGATGCAGAGTTTTCTCCATTCATTTATAGTTATAGTTAATTTCATATAATCTAAGGTTAATATTACTGATTATGATCACATTTAGTCCTATTTCTACCAAATATATTCAATTGTATCTAAATTCGTTATTATCCTCTTTCTCATCTTCTAATTCTTTGAGATTTTCTTCATTGTTTACTTCAGTCTCTTCATCAAATGCTAGTTTGAGCAAGTCAATGGGATCAAAATTAATTGTGTCTATATGTTGTCTATAAATCATTAATCATAATATATTATTATTTTCTTTATTTGTTTAATACTTCAGTGTGAAACGTAAAGTAGAATCTTGATACAGCAGAATTTCTTCCATTATTCTCCATTATATACTGCTGATGGTTAAGAAAATATCCTAACTACATTTTCTTTTACACATTTTTTTCATTGCCTTTTCACGTATTTATATGTTAAATATAGCTTAAAAATTGAGAAATTCTCAAATTATTCAATCCATTCCTAATACTTTCTTAGTGCTGATTGAATCATTTATCCTATTTTATTAGTTGTAATATAATTATTTATATTTCTATCACTTATTGTGCCTCTTAACAATCTTAATAATTCCTTATTAAGATTCAATAATACAAACTTATGACTTGAATAGTATAATGGTATACTGAGAAAAATATGACAAGTTTCTTATACTGAGATATCTCTCTCAGCTATGCTGTTTAGCAAAAACTTTTGAATTGATACAAGCAAGTTTCTATCTGGTTTACTGTTGTTTAATATTTATTAAATATTTTTTTGAATGCTATAATTTGGGTTGAGCTTTGCTTATATATTTAGATATATATTATAATACTGCATATATACTGATAGAGTTCTAGACGAGTTAAGTTAACTCACAAGTCAGATAAGCTAAGTTAAATTTAAATTAAGTTGAGTTTATATTTTTTTGACTCAATGATTTATGAGTTAAATCAAATTCAAATTGAGTTAAATATTTAACTTGATTCAATTTAAACTTGACTAAAACTCGATTTGACTTGAGTTGACTTAAAATAGTATTATTAATAAATTAATATTTTAAAACTATAAAAATTAAACATTATAATAATTGAAATACTTTATAATAGTTGAAATGTATTAATAGTTAATAATTAAAATTTATTTTATTAGTTTAAATTATAAATTATAAATTTCATAAAGTTAATTATTTTTTTATCGATAAGATAAATAAACATTAAAACAGTATAGTTTAAATCTTTATTTTAATGATTTTTTTATTAATAAAATATATAAAAAAATAAAAATTATTATAAAATTAATTAAAAAATCTAATTTTCATAATACCTGTTTCTTTTTCCATTACTTTAGCAGTTTTTTCAGTTAAAGTAATTGCACTAGTGTATTGAATGTCACTTTTACTTAAATTAAGTTTAGCTATATCATGTACAGCTTGCATTAACTAATACCATATTGAATTTGATATCATTTTAATAGCAACACCATTTTCAAAATAAATAAAATACCCTTTTTTAACTATATTAATTTCATAAACAAATCCTATTGCAAATTCTAATCTATTCTTACTAATACTAACTCAGTTTTAACAAACTAAATAACTAAAATATTAATAAATTTAACAAAATTTAGTGTTAACAAAAAAACACATCTAACTAATAGAAATTAATTTCTTTGAAATTATTATAGTCCATTTTAATCAAATTGATTTGTCTAAGTCATTGATTTAAGAATATTAAAGTTTTAGTAAAATAATTCAAACTATGATAGACTAATAAGTTAACAAACTACTTACAAAATTATCATAATTATCATCAAATTCATCTTTAATGATAACTTCACTGCCTTTACAATTTGAGATTTGCGAAAATTTTTTATTTTTCTTTTTTACGTCCTCTTCCTTTCTTTCATTTTCTGCAATTTTATCCATTAATTTAGGAGTTATCAGATCATGACCTTCAAATGCTCACTGTTATTTGAATAAAATATAATTTAATATTTCAAAAATTATTTTCAGTTAAGTTTTATGAAATTAATTACTAAAAAAGCATTGATACATCTTACAACAGATTTATTATTATACTTAATTAGAACTTTTAGAAGTGTAATACATAATAAAGAATTCTTTTTCTTTATATCTTTTGAATACTATGTATTTAATTTTTGTAAGTAACCCATAATTACTAAAAATTCATGATATACTGCTTGAGTTTTCTCATTTATCTTCCACTCTGCAAGTTTTACAGAGGATATTATACTATTAATATAATCTAGATACTGATCACTAAAAGTGTTAAATATTGAATGTTAAATACTAGCTAATAGATCATTTCATTTACTTCAAAATTTGATTTTAATTTAAAAATCAAAATAAAATTAGGATATTTTCAGTATTAAATTCTAAGTTTTTCACTTACTTCTAAAAGTAATTTTTTTTCAAATAAAGAGATCCAATTGTTTTTTCTAACATTGTCAATAAAATGATCAGCATGTTCTATGAGATATTTTTCTAGTACTTTATGATATTCAGTAGTTGATGAAAATAAAACCATCAGAAGTAATTATTTAGTTATTTCTTTATAAGCACATTATAGATATAATAATATTATAAGTATTTTAAAAATTAAAATAAAATCTAAATACTATATATTAAATAACTTACATTTTAGTAAGCTTATTCAATGTAACAAATTTCTCTAAAGAACTTTTTTCAACTTGTTGAACTTCAAAGATAAATTTATAAAGTTTATATAACAAAGTAATTTTTTTATTAACTAATTTCATCATATAATTAAAATCTTTTTTGTTAGATAAATATTATCTTCATTTGCTTGCGAATTATTAATCTGTTGATCATTAACTTAATTAACTTAGGGAGAATCTAAGTTAGCTTAGGAAAGACAGACTTTAACTTCAAAGTTAAGCTTATCAAAATTACTGTAGATATTGATAGAATTATAACTATTATTATAATGAGATTCATTGCTACTTTTGTTATTGCAGTAGTCTTTAAATCTATTATTAAGATTTTCATCAATAATAGTCAAATCAACAAGCTTATCATAGACTACTTTAGTATTAGCATTAGACATTTTTTGAAATGATAATAAAATCAGTAGTTTTTTTCATGATAGTAATATTCACATCAATTGTTGGCGGCTTAACTGATTGATTATAGGTATTCTTTTATATATTATTAATTATGCTTATTGAAATAGAATTTTCATTTAATGATTTAAATCTTTTTAAATCAAATTAAAAATATTACCAAATCTAAGAATTTATACATAAATCAAAATATATTTTGACTGATATAAATTACATAAACTAAAATATTACTTATTCATTAACATTTGAGATAATTTATTCTTAGTAGTTTACAAAACTTTAGATTATAATTATGCTATTATAAATGATAATTCACTTTTTGAATTCTTTCTTTACTTTTTATTATTAGATATAGTTGGTAAGTTAAAGAAAAATTGAGGGAAATATTAAAGAAAAAAATTAATTTTTAAGATAAGTGAAGAAAAGGAATTGGAAAAATGTTAAAAAAAAAAATCAATTTTTAAGATAAGCGAAAAAAAGAAATTGAAAAATATTTTTGTTAAAAATAAGTGAATTAAATAAAAATTAAGAAAAGGAGAAATTCATGATTTAAATATTAATAAAATCTGCTAAATTTTATATAATAATCATTAAAATATTCAATTTAAAGGTAACCTATGATTATTGATATAATTTACGTATATTAAATGATTAATAAATTAATTAATTAAAATATTAATTTATATGATATTACTATATGAATAAATTATTACTTCAATTAATTTCGTAATAATTTGTGTTTATTCTAGAAAAAATAATCATCATGATAAAATATCATTATGAAATTTATAGTAAAGAATTTTTAATAACCAGTAGACTAAGATAATATGAAAATGCTAAACATAGTAAAAGAATATTGAATATCACTTTTTCTGAGATTTTATATATGACTGCAAAAATTAGAGCAAAGATTAAAGTAAGATCAGAATTTGATGAAAGCTTGTAAAATACACTGGTTGTAATACCACTAATACAATCACAGTTGCAGTCATAATCACAATTATTCACATCTCTGCTACTTTTTTTGTCTAATTTAGAAAAAACGACTGTTAATAACAATGAGGATTATGATATGATAGAAGATGTAATATCTGAAGATAATAATATAAACAAAATGAACTAAGATATAATCTGTAAAGTCAAAAATAAGTTATAGAAATGGAAGAGATATTAAAGATAATGATAAGAATTTAGAAGAGAATATCGATAAATTAAAAATAAAATCACAAATACTTAAACTGATTTCAATTCTAAAGACCTTCAAAGGGCTAGTTTAGATGATGCTTTGAAGACTATTAAAGGAAAAAATAAACCTAAATGCATTACAAAATAGCCTAATAATGTATATTATGATTTTATGAAATTAATAGTAGATGGTAACGTTTCTAAAATAATTAAATTCTTTAACAAGCATAGTAATTTAAAAAATTCTCTATTACTGAAATTAACTAAAAATAGTAAAGATTACCTTAACCAAATAAATTCTCCTTTGTTAGACTTTAAAGAAAAGATCATTGTAACTTATTTTGAAGTTGAATTTAAATTTTATTACCGATTGATTTTTTGTGTAATTTAGACACTTTTACAATAATCAGAAGTAGCTGATAATTTTATCTATAAGAGAATCCTAAAAAAAGAGATAAAAATAGTGAAATAAGAATATTTGATGAACCTTACGAAGATAACTGGTAGTTAAAAATGGAGAAGAATCTTATATCTTTAAATAATCTATTATTAATAATTCTATATTCAAATGCAATAACTTTTAATGAGTTCAGTAAACTTCAAGGTATTTAGTATTTTTAATACTTAGCAATCTTCTAAATAGGAAAAGAAATTCACTAAAATCAAAAGTTCTTTTAAAATTTTTACCTAAAATTCAGAATTCAGAAATTAAAACAACTAAACTTTTTAAAGTTTTCAATGTGAAGTTTATCACAAATATTTTAACATTATATTTCAATTATTATTAAAAAGACCTAATGCATTACATTTTAAAATTAAAGAATAAATAATATTATTTGCTATGCAAATTTCATTTTTTCTATTAGATATACTTGAGGCTGATAATGTAATTGCTACATATAAATTAACATATTATAAAATGTCATATTATACTTGCATAATTCTGCAAAATGATTTAAATAGAATAAACTTGGAGTCAGCTTCTCTCAGAATACATAAAAGCATATAGCAAATAATTGATGCTGATTAAGAAAAAGATTACTTTATACATTCTACTAAAAATACGTTTTGAAAAATTTTGTAAGTACTAATCATTAATTATTGAAAATAATCTTAAATTAATTAAATTATTTTTTGCAAAAATCTAAATATTTATAATGCATATGTCTCTGATTATATTGATCTTGGTTTCTTTAAATATCAACTGAAATTTACTTAAGAGGATTTTAAAGAAAGTTAGAGGAACAAAATTGCAGAAAGTCTTTAATGATTATCTTCATAAAATTTCACGTATTTTTAGCTTAAAATTCTTAAATAAGGTAAGTCAAATAAAAGTGATTACTATCACAGATTATTAACATACACTCCTCTCCAAAAAATATCTGACCACCTAATTTTTTTGATATTTATATTAATATCTTATTAACTATAAATATTAGAATGATGATTTATAATTATATATTAATTTTTGGAATTTAATAAATATTTCAAATATAATTTGATATCTAATTAATAAGTCTAATTTTTAAAAATCAATGATCTACATCTTCAACTAACACTTAGTAAATTTTTAATCATTAAACAAAATTTTAATCAAGCTAGCTACAATAAAATCTATATTATATATTATTGTCTTACTTTAGGAAAATTAGTATACCAAATTTCATAAAGATCTTATCAGTGATTATTGAGATATTAAATTTTAAAAACTAGCTATTTACATGTAAAAAATTAATTTTGATAATTTTATATGTAAATTATTAACCTTTGAAGTTCAATTTCTCAGCAACTACTGATCAAATCTTTATAAGATTTGATATATTAATTCTTCTAAAATAAGTTAATCATATATATGAAAGGTTTTATTATAGCTAATTTAGTTATAATTTTATTCATGGTTAAAATTTTACTAAGTGCTAATTACAGATATAGATCACTGATTTATACAAAATTGAACTTATTAATCAGATATCAAATTATATTTGAAATATTTATTAAACCTAAAAATTAATATAAAATTATAAATTATCATTCTATTATTTATAGCTAATGAGGTATTAGTATAAAACATTAAAAAGTTGGGTGATCAGATATTTTTTGGAGAGGAATGTATAATAAAAATTGCTCTTTTTGCATTAGATGGTATCTTTAACAGTTAGAATAAAATAATATATAATAAACTTTGTGATCTTTATGTAAAGTTCAGCAGATGTATATAATAAATAAAAAAGAGTCATATACTGAAGACAAATTAAAAGTCTTTGAGATAATAACTGTAGTTAAAAATAAGTTATTAAATAAATATAGTCAAACCTCTCTAAATGTACCCTCTATAAATGCATATCCTCTTTAAATGCATATTCTGGTCTAGTCCCTAGCTTAGGACTTAGATGTTAAATGCACCCTCTATGTTCTGCACATACAAGGAGTTTTTTAGTCTATTCATATGATAAATGCATTCTTTAAATGCACGTCATATGACTATAAATTTTTTATTAAAGTTATACCTCAGCAGCATTATTCTAATGCTGGCCAAACATCTCCATTTGACTAATCATGATATCATAATAATCAGTCATTTGTATCATTATAAGGATTTTGATAACATAAAATAATAATTAATATTAACTATTGAATAAATACACTAGTTGAAATAGTCCAAATCAGCTAAAAATCAGATGGCTGATTTTAGGCTAATTTTGATACTATTTACAGCCAATTTGCCATGTTTTTTGATCAGTACAAACAGGTGTTGATAGATATCGATCGACTTCAATCAGACATAGCCATTCAGAACTTAAATTCAACTATAAATCAGCCTAAAACTGGTCTCAATTCAGCAACAATTTAGACGCTAATAGACACTGATCGATTCTAATTAGACATAGCCATTCAGCATCAATTCAGAACTTAAATAATTATAAATAAACCTAAAATTGGCTTCAATTTAGTATCAATTTAGTAACAATTCAGATGTCACTTGATGCTAATCAACTTCAATCAGACAAGCAATTCAGCATCAATAATCAGTACATTTTATTTATTAAATTTATTAAATA